GTCTATTTCTCCTTTCAGGTCTGTTATTATTTGCTGTATATCCTTAGATGCTCCTATATTTGGTCATAAACATTTATAAACACTATATTCTCTTGTTGGATTGATCCTTTTATCATCATATCTTCTTTTATCTTCTTTCATATCATTTTATCTTCTTTGTCTATTATAAGACAGTCTTTGTTACCTCTCCTTTCTTTGGGTTTTCATTTGTATGAAATATTTTTTCATCCATTTACTTTCAGTCTGTGTTTGTCCTTAAAGATTAAGTCTCTGGTAGGCAGCATAATGTTTTTATTCATTCAGCAACTCTATATTTTTTTATTGGAGAATTTAGTCAATTTACAATTAAGGTAATTATTGATAGTTATGGACCTACTATTGCCATTTTGTTCATTGTTTTCTGGCTATTTTGTAATTCCTTTGTGCTTTTATTATCCTCTTGCTCTCTTCCTTTGTAAATTGATCATTTTCTGTAGCGTTCTTTTATTTTTGTGTATCTTTTATAGGTTTGTGATTTTGTGATTACCATGAAGTTTTTATAAAATATCTTATATTTAGAATTGTCTATTTTAAGCTGAAAGCAACTTTGGTTCAAATGCATAATAAAACTCTACATTTTAACTCTCCTAATTCTTCCACATTTTATGTTTTGTTGTCCCAATTTGCATCTTTAATCTTGTATAGTCATTAAAAATTAGTGTGATTATAGTTATTTTAACATTTTTGTCATTTAACCTTTATACTGTATTTTTAAGAAATTTACCTACCACCATTAAAGATTAGAGTATTCTGAATTTAACTATTTATTTACCTTTTGCAGTAAAATTTATACTTTCATATGTTTTTCTTTTACTAGTTAACATCCTTTTGTTTCAGCTTGAAGAATTTCCTCTAACATTTTTTATAAGACTGTAGTAGAGGTAATAAACTTTGTCAGCTTTTACTTATCTGAAAAAATTCTTATCTCTTTTGCAATTCTAAAAGACAACTCTGCTAGGTAGAGTATTATTGATTGGTCGATTGGCTTTTTTTTTTTTTCTCAATACTTTAAATATGTCATTCTAATCTCTCCTGTCTTACAAAGTTTCTGCTGTTAAATTTGCTTATGGTGCTTCCCTGTATGTAACATCTTTTGCAGTTTTTAAGATGCTCTCATTGTCTTTAACCTTTGACAATTTAATTATAATGTGTCTTGGTGTGAGTCTCTTTGGATTTATCTTATTTGGACCTGTCTAAGATTCCTAGATCTGGATGTCTGTTTCTTTCCCCAAATTTGGAAGTGTTCAACCATTATTTCTTTGAATAAGCTTTCTGCCTCTTTCTCTCCCTTTTCTCTATCTGGGTTCCCCTATAACACTGATACTGATCCGTTTGATGGTGTCCCATATGTCCCTTAAGCTATCTTAACTCTTTTTTATTCTTTTTGATTATTGCTTTTCTGATTAGATGAAATCCACTGCCCTGAATTTGAGTTTGCCAATTATTGTATTCTTCACCTCTGGTTTCTGTTTGGTACTTTCTTGTATTTTCTGTCACTTTATTAAAATTATCACTCGGTTCATGCATTATTCTCCTGATCTTGATGAGCAAACTTATGGCAATTTTAACTTTTTATCAGGAAAATCACTCATCTTCATTTTATTAAACTCTGTTTCTGCAGTTTAATCTTATTCTTTGTTTGAAGCATATTTCTTTATTTCTTCTTTTTCCTTGACTCTCTGTTTGTTAGTTCCCTCTCCTATTCTTGATGGACTGGCCTCCTGTAGGAGGTGAGCCTTGCCCTAGCTCTTGGATTTCTTTCAAGTCTTTGTGATTGTCCAAGCTGAATTCTTTGTCTTCAGTGGCTCCCAGTAACTGAAGGTGTGCCCAGATCTGTCAGTGTCCCAAAAGGAAGATCTTGGTCAGCACCTAGATGCAGGCTAATTGGAAGACAAATGTTCAGTCAGCAACTTTTGAAGCATGCGATAAACCTCTTCAGGAAAAACTAGGATATGCACATTTCACTCTGCTACCTCTACATTGAGCCCTGGTGGGATAACAAGTGCCTTTTTGTCTGCTACTTTCTGTTAGAACTGTGAATGCAAGCCCCTCTGACCATCATAGCCAGGGGATCAAGGGATGTATCCCTTGAGTGGTAGCCACAAAAGCCAGGCACCAGACATGTGCACAACCGCTTTTCAGGGAGACACCAGTGTTTCTGAGCAGCGCAGAGGAAGTACACAAAGATGACACTTGGGTCTCTCCAATATCCAGAAAGGATTGCAGTTGGCCCCTAGATGTATGTTAAATTTGAAACCTGACCCTCCAGCTACAGGTTTTAAGATATGTAGATAGACCTCTTTCAGGAAAAGACTGGGAATTATTTTTTTAATTTTTTTGTTCCTGCTGCCTCTGCACTGAACCCTGGGGGGAAAGCCACAGCTAGTCCTCCCAAGATGTTTAACAACCATTTTTTGTTTGCTATAGTGTTGTGAGTATTGTAGCACAAGCCCCATTGGCTTTCAGGGCTAAGTATTTTGGGGGTACTATTCCTCAAATAAAAATCTTAAAAGTTAGGGCACTAGATGCTGGACCCAAACACTTCTCTTCTCAGGGCGAAGCTATGAGTTGTGAGCTTCTGCCTTTTGTATGTCCCTGTGATGCAGTGGGTTTTAAGGCCTGAGTATGTCTCAGACTTTCTTACCCATTTTTATGTGGATTTTTTTCTCTTTAGCCTAGGAATCACTCAGCTAATTTCTAGATTTTTTTTTTTTTTCCAGAGGGAATTATTTTATGTGTAGCTGTAGACTTGGTGTGTTCATGAAAGGAGGTGAGTTAAGGAGCCTCCGGTGTCATCATCTAGGCTGGAACCTCAATGTTTATGTGTGTGTGTTTTAACATATTTTTATTGATTTTAGAGAGAGAGGGAAAGGGAGAAGGATAGAGAGATAGAAACATGGATGAGAGTGAAATATCAAACGGCTGCCTCCTGTATGCCCTCTACTGGGGGTCGAGCCTGCAGCCTGGGCATGTGCCTTGACTGGGCATCAAACCAATGACCTCTTGGTTCATGAGTCGATGCTCAACCACTGAGCCATAGCAGCCGGGCTGGAACCTCAATGTTTTTAACACAGGATTAATTCCCTGACCACCTGCCTCTAGGTTTGTTAAGATAATGAATGAGTTATTTAAGTATAAAGCACTTTAAAAATAATAGGGCTTTGTATAAATGTAAGGGAAGATTGCTTGGGCTTGACTGAATAAGGCTGAATTCCAGAGTTGGTGAGAAGAGTATGCAGTACGTCTCATCTCTTCTCACTTCACGGCGAGGCATGCACAAATCCCCCTCTTGGTTATGCAGCTGCAAATAGAACTGATGTAGTCTAAGCAGTCTACCCTGGGCCAGGCGACTTAGAAATCCCAAAATGTGTTGCCAGGTTCTTTCTGAAAGAAATAGCAAGGTGACTGGTGTATATTCCAGTTGTTCGAGCTGCCAAATGGCTCTTAAGAAAGCAAAACAAAACAGCTCTCTCCACCAGCACACAAAGGAGTCACCTTTCCCCTCTTTCCCTGGTTCTTTCATTTTAATCTTTTGTAATGTGTGGTTTCCAGACTCCAAAAGTGTAAACGAAACATGTCTGTTCTGTCGTTTCTATTATCCAGTGCAAATTGGCAAAAGAAACTAGAATGCTTCTTAATCTTCTTTAAAAATTTCTTTTTATAATGTCTTTCCAAATATCAGAGTTCCTTGCATGATTTGGATGGGGTGTGATGGAATAGAAACAGGATTCATATCAATCCATTGCAGGCGGCATAATCGGAACAGGCACTTTCCCAGGACTTTTGTGATCACTATGCTGGTGATAAAACTCTGCAAAGATACCTGAGGCATTGGGGAGGAAGTGGTTGCTACATTTGGGAGAAAAATATCTCAAAAACAAAGGGATACCGAAGTATCTTTTTCTCCTTTATTTCTAAGAAATGTGTTTCTCCAAGCATATAGGAGGTCACATTGAATTGTATTTTTATCATGATATAAATTGTGTAAACGATTGGGAAATATAACTTTGAAATATTAAATAGAATTTGACCCTTGTTAAATATGTGGACTTGAATATTTAACAACATTTCATAGTTTATTAGTAACATTAACCCGGCCACATTTCACTGTGTGCCAGCTTTAGGGCTGTAAGGTATGTAGGAGATTCACATAACCCTGGTAAATATTAAATATCAGTTGAGAGAGGAGAGTAACATAGCATTTACGACCAGTCCAAAGTTCCTTTGAGATGTATATGAATGCATATGACTTCTTTAATCTATTAAGCAGATGCTAGTTCACTGTAGTGCATGTGTTGGCTTTCAAGCACAGTCTTATGGTGGGGGATATGCATGTATGCAAATTCCAGGTATGAGTTTTGGGGATGCCATTCAGAATTTTATATTTTTACATTTCATTTGAACATTGACCTTGAAGATGTATAAATACTATTAGTTTTGAAAAATTTTAGAAAAGTAATTAGGAATATAGTAAAGCATAAAGGAAAAGAGTGCCTAAGATTTTAAAGTAGTTTTTTTAGATTGAATTACATTTTTAAATGAAATCAATTGATCATTAATTTTGTGTGAAGCTTTACTTAGTTCAATAACCAGATATTGATTTTCAGTTTATCTCTACTGTTCAATTTATCGTGTGACATTCTGAAACTGTTTTATAAGGAATTAACAGTTTAAATATTATAACCCCAAGTAGGAAAGCAATTTCTTAATATTTAGTTCAAAAAAAAGAGGAGAAATTATATTTCTTTATATTAACCTGAGACATGAAATAGATACTGAGTTTCTCTTTCTTTATACAAAAATAAAATAAAAAATATGTTAAAAAAAGAGAATGTATAAAAGTATATTGTATGCTACGTGTTTCTGCTATCTGGATGTGTAAGAGTGTCTGGAATAATGAAAAACAAACAAACAAAACCCTTAATACTGAATGCTAGCATTTCTCTTTCTATTTCTTTCAGCTCTCAGGAGAAGTGATTTTACAAATTGCCAACGAGCCAGTTCTGCCTTTCAATGCTCTTGACATAGCTTTAGAAGTTCAAAACAGCCTTAAAGGTAATTTTTCTTTAAATTATAGTCATTTTAGAAAATGAAAAACTGTTCAACTAATTTTCAACAAGAAATGGATAAAATTATCTGGTATACTAACTATGGTGATGCAGAGCCTCCCTTCCTATAGAGCATTATCATGGGAAGGGATGGAGAATTTTTGCTGCCATGTCAATGGGAGTGAGGTGTACTTATAAGCAAGTGTAAGGCAACATGTAAGTTTTAAAGGATGTTCTACTATCTTTTATCAAAAAGATTTATAGTTTCAAGCTCTAGTTATTATTTATAGGTTCCATGTGGAAAAATATAGTTTAGGGACTTTTTTTTAACATTGTACCTAACATTTAATCAGTTCAAATAAGACTGGCCCAGAAGTTTCTTCTTGGGGATTGGTTTCTATAAGGTAGGGGCTCCATCCCATTCCACTGAAGTGCTGGCTCATCCTAGATTAAGCCCTAAAGCTGGAAATTAAGAAGATAATTTCCATAGTGTCTACTTCAATTCCTTCACATTTGAATATATCTCGTTCTGCAGGATTCTGACAGCACCCTAACAGTTACCTTCATTTCCACTTTATCTGCATATAAATCTTTCAATTAGGCTTATAATTTGTCCTTATTAACCAAATACTAAGGTCAGTATTGTAATTAAAGAATGACCCCTCCTTCTCTTGGAGTCACACATTTTATTATCAGCTCTTTAATGAGTCATTTGTAGACATGCACTTCTCAATGCAAAAGTCGATATTCTAACTATGGGAATCCTTGGAAAGTAGATCATTCTAAAGAGCCAAATATTTTTAATATCTGAAAGTTTAATACTTTTTTTTTTTTGACAACCTGGGTAGCTTCTTAACCAAGAGAATACTACAATCCTACATGTCCCCCCATTATTCTTATGACTTTTATTATAGTGACTGTAAAGCCATGACCTCAAGAACAATTGAGCAGTTGTGTAGAGCTGTTTGCTCCTCTACTAAATGGCCTCATTGCTCTACTTTGTTGTATTTGTCAGTCTCATGTAGTTTTCTTCTTTTTTTACTTTTGTCAAGCTTCTATCTCACTGCTGTGAGTGTGACTCCTGCAGCAGTCACTCTGCCCTCCACTTCTAATTTACTATTTTTAGAATATTTGGGGTATAGACACTGAGTCACCAACTATATGACATTTTGCAAAATAATAGCAGAGCTGGTATAAATAAAGAACAAAATATTCTGTGAATATTCGTATTATTTTTTCTGCAAGGACTTCTTTTAAGCATCTATTTTACTTGTTCAGTAGATTTTTCTCATTTTTATACTTCAGAAAATGCAGTTGGTACTGTGTATAATGCTTAAAACTTTCAGAGAACAAAAGGAGATTATTATTTATGTAACACAGATTTGTTCATCTATAAAGGAATAACTGTCATTCATAGGAAGGAGACAAAAAAAGTATATGGTGAAATACTAACATTACATGATAGAATTATAAATGATTTACAAATTGCCTTTCTAAGTCAAAATTTTTTATGATAAATGTATACTGCATTTGTAATAAAGACATGAAGAGTTTTATTTTAATTTAAAGAAATAAAACCAATGAAAACAAAAGTATTAGCACTATTGTAATGTTTTTGACTATTATTTTAATTAATCTTTATTGTTGAAAGTATTACAGATGTC